AAGTATCATTGCTGTATCCTTTTCCTTGTCTATTCATGACCTGTACTTAGCTTGTTAGAGCACAAACGTACAATAAAGGTCTTTCATTCATTCATTAATATGTGCTTGTGGGTGGAGTTCTGTCAATCGAAGTCCGTAATTTGTCATCACCGTCAGCACGGCCGGGCCGGTTTCTCAAACACGTTGTTTTGGTCAATCCTGGTGTTCTATCCTGTTCCATCTATCATGTCAGTGATGCACGCAAACCTAAGGAACACCTTATTTCATCATCAAAATCGGGAAAACAGCTTTACCTTAAATGTACCCTATCTAAACTGAGCTTTTGGGGGACTTCGGCTAATAGTGATTATAAATCAACACCAACTATCACTATTCATCATTATTCTGTATGATCAATTGCTCAAGTAAACACATTAAAACGTAGTTTACCAACCCAACAAAAGGACAGAAAAATGTCACAGTGGATAAGAAAGATACACAAAGTAAAATACTTTTTCCTTGTTAATTTTAGTCATTTACAGATAAATTACTGCCAGGGAGCAAAAAGCTTCTATTAACCGGACCTCAACCCACAACCACATATTAATGCCACCCCGTAGTCAGTCTATTCCACAGGCACAACTTTGTGGCTTATGCAAGATACAGTCCTGTTTGCATGCGTCAAAGATTGATTTCAGACGCCACAAAAACACATTGACAAGGCTTATCGACGTGGGAACCGGCTATTCGATTTTATAAACACTGTACATAAAACAGTATTTCGATAACTAAAAAGCCACATAAGGACACCCCCTTCCATTGAAGGAGAACCACCAACAGTCATCTTCTACTGAAAAGAACTAGTCATCATACAGAGACGATACATGCGATGACAATTGGCAGGTCAACAGCATTTTAAGTGTAGCTGTCTTAGGATTGACAACACAGTTGTTAATGCTATCTATCTATCCGTCCTTCGTAATTCTGGGCTTACGCAGCGCGGGCATGCCCGGCCAATATTGATTAAAGTTCATCACTGTCAATAGGGAGACTTGCTTCTCAAACATGTTGTTCTGGCCAATCCTTGCAGAAACTGCTTTCCCGGTGGTCTATCCTGTTCCACCTATTATGCTTGTTAGTTCGCGTTGTCCTCCTCCCATGGGAGGGGGTGTCCTATTGCGGCTTCTTAGTTATCGACTTATAATTTACCGCTGTGGCAGCAATAGCTGTTAGTTAGCATTTTAAACTTAAGTTGGTTGTCCTATCCCTCCCCCTGTGACTTTTTCCTTGCTTTTGTTGGTGGGCTACATTTTAATTTGTTTTCTTGTCTAGTTGCTCATACAGAATAATAATGAAGAGAAATCGGTGGTGTTGATTTATAATCATTAAAAGCCGAAGTCCCCCAAAAGCTCAGTTTGAATAGGGTTTACTTAAGGTAAGGCTGTTTTAACAAGTTTTAACGATGAAATAAGGTGTTTCTTAGGTTTGCGTGCATCACGGACACTCATGATAGATGGAACAACAAAGACCACTAGGATTATCTGTCGGTGTCCTCCTTCAATGGGAGGGGGGTGTCCTTAAGTAGCTTCTTAGTTATGGAAATACCAGGTTGTTTTTCAGTAATGTGTTTGTAAAATCGAAGAGCCGGTCTCTGCGTCGATAAACCTTGTCAATGTGTTTTTGTCGCGTCTGAAATCAATCTTTGACGCACGCAAACAGTACTGTGTCTTGTATAACCAACAAAGTAACGCGTGTCCAATAGACTATCTGCAGGGAGGTATTGATATGTGGTTTCCTTTACATTCTGAAGTGTGCTTCTGTGGATAACCAGCATTTTGATCTTTTTTACTAGTCCAACTGATCATGCTGAATAATTATAATTGTTGATATTATCTTTATATGGCAACATTTATCGTTTGTGTTGGAACAAATGTTTCAATCTGAAACAGATGATTGTTGATTTAGAAATCATTATTGGCTATATAGCTAGATTCCCCGTAAATCTCTGCCTAGATAGAGTTCATTAAAATTAAGGCTGTTTTCGCAACTTTTGATGATGAAATAAGGTGTTCATTATGTTTGCGTGCATCACTGACAGGTTTGATAGATGGAACAGGATAGACCACCAGGATTGACCAACACACCGTGTCTGAATAGCCGGTCCCCGTGTTGATGGTGATGACCTAGTAATCAATATTGGCCGGACATGTCCCAAAATGCCCGAGATGGGCTTGCCTCGTGGTTTATGACATCATTTCTGTTATGAATGAGATCATTTTTGACCAATCACAGAGTTGCAGAACTCCGCCCACATCGTGCTATATTAGGCAGACCGACGCCGCCCTGGATCATTTTTCGTCGGCGCCTGCCGGACATCTACTTGGTCTCTCCAAGCGATCGTCCAGCCCAGTACCGCCGGTCAACACATCCCCGACCGACTTCTCCGGCACCCGCCTGAGAGACAACAGACCACAGAAGAAGCCGCCCAAGTTTGAGACAACATGTGGAAGGGACTAGCTCTCTGTTTCTGTGCAGTCATGGCCTGCATCGCTGGAGGTTTGGCAGGTCAGTTTTGGAAATCTCTTTTTTGTAAGACCTAGGTATAAATCACTATTATGTTAGAATTTAGACGTGCTTGCCGCTGAACATATGGGCATGATTTCATGACATGTATGGACAATAGGACGTTCTCAGAATTTTTTGTATACCATTGCAATTTTCTGATAAAACACTAGCAAAAAAACAGGAAAAGGACAGCACAGCTAATGCATAATGAATGCTGGCAGCTAAAAGTGTGATATGGAAGCATTATGACTTACGCTGACGTCAACTGGCAGAATAAACGGATCAGGGCGATACATCAAGAAGACAGTATTCTTTGAAATAGTTTTCTCAAATTTCCCCCTCTACCAAGGTAAGCAGGTCCATGATTATTAAACTATTTTCACAAAAACCTCTTGTCTGTTTCATTAAAGAAACCGATTCCTTTTTTCGGGCCACAGTTCGTAAGTCTATAATGATTAAACTGATTTGATAAAACACGTTGTTTGTGCATTATTAGTACTTATAGACATTTAAGGGTACATAATATGAAAATGAGTGTCGCTGCGGGACTCTAAAGCAGCGGCAGGACCTCTGCCTTGTACATCTACATGTCAACATTTTTTTTCGCGTTGACGAATCCCCCCCCCCAAGCCAGAACGGTGCTAAGATGATTAAACTCGTTTAATGAAACACTTTGTCTGTGTATCATTATTACTCTTTTTTATTTAGGGGCACAGATTATTAAATTTGAGATGCTGCCGTGGCACTTTAATTACACAACTATCCTTACTCCACCCGGGCGTAAAATGGGTACCTGATTTCCATAAAGACGACAGTGTAGTCTGACTATGTCCGCAACTCTCCCGGCCCCCTTCTACCATATATATTTAGCAGGTCCAAGGTTATTAAACTGTTTCATAAAACTATTTTTTCTGTGTGTATCCTTTTAGAAACCCAATCCTTTGAGGCTGAATTCTTACCTTTAAGATGAATAAAGTGATTTAAGAAAACACGTTGTCTGTGTATCATTCTACCGTCTACTAATCATTAAAGGGTACAGATTAGGAAAATGAGTGTCGCCAACTTGAACTGGCAGAATAAGCGGGTAATGGCGATACATAACGGGGACAGTATAGTTTGGTCTGTTTGGATGACTGTGTTCTCAACTATCCCCTTCTACTGTTAGCAGGTCCAAGATTATTAAACTATTTTCTAAAAACTGCTTGTCTTTGTGCATCCTTTGAAAAACCCCATCCTTTGGGGACTCAATTTATAAGTCTAAAATGATTAAACTGATTTGATAAAACACGTTGTCTGTGCATTTTCATTTCTTATACTTATAGACATTTAAGGGTATAGAAAATGAAAATCAGTGACTGTTGGGACTCTAAAGTAGCGGCATTACCTTTGGCTTGTACAAGTACCGAGCACGATAATTATCTACATGTCAACATGCTTATCCTTTTTTTTCGCGTTGACACCCCGCCTCCAGCTACAATTTTACTGAGATTATTAAACTCGTTCCATGAAATACTTTGTGTATTATTATCTTTCTTGTTATTTGAGGGTACAGATTATTAAATGTGAGATGTTGCAGTGGCACTTTACACAACTTTCCTCACTCCACCGGGCGTAAAAATGGGTACCTGACTTCTATCAAAAGCACAATGTAGTCTGACTGTGTAAGCAACTTTCTACCTTCTACCTAAATATTTAGCAGTTTCTTCAAGGTTACTAGTATTAAGCTATTTTATAAAACCATTTTTTCTGCGTTCATCCTGGTAGAAACCTAATCCTTTGGGGCTGGGATTCTTACATTTAGGATTATTAAATTGATACTAACACAAACATAAAAGTTTATCTGAGTCTTCAAATACATGAATAAAATTAAACTCTTCTCCAACTCAAAAAGAAATTGACTCACCAGACATTTTCAACTGAATCACTCAGTCTTCATCAGCTTTTTTCACAGCACTTGGGTCATAAGACTTCCGAAGACTGAGCGATTCAGTCGAAAATGGTGAGTTAATTTCTTTTTGAGTTGGAGAACAGTTTAATTTTCTCTAGATTAAAGTGATTTAATAAAACACGTTGTCTGTGTATCATTATCACTCTAGCGTTAAAGGGTACAGATTAGGAAAATGAGTGTCGCCAACTTGAACTGGCAGAATAAGCGGGTAATGGCGATACATAACGGGGACAGTATAGTCTGGATGACTGTGTTCTCAACTTTCCCCTTCTACTGTTAGCAGGTCCAAGATTATTAAACTATTTTCATAGAAAACGGTTGTCTGTTTGCATTTTTTGAGAAACCCAATCCTTTGTGGAAACAGTTTTTAAGTCTAGAATGATTAAACTGATTTAATAAACACGTTGTCTGTGTATTATTATTACGCATTTTCTGGGTACAGAAGTATGAAAATGAGTGTCGCTTTGGCACTCTGAAGTAGCGGCACGACCTCTGGTTGTACAGGTGCCAAGCACGATAATCATCTACAAGTCAACATGCTCACCATTTTTTCACGTTGACCACCCCCCTCCCCCAGCTACAACGGTACTAAGATGATTAAACAGGTTTAATGAAACACTTTGTGTACCATTATTTCTCGTGTTATTTGAGGGTACAGATTTTTACAAGTGAGATGTTGCCGTAGCACTTCAAAAAACTTTCCTTACTCCGCCCGGGCGTAAAATGGGTACCTGATTTTCATCAAGACGACAGTGTAGTCTGACTCTGTTGCAACTTTCCCCCTTCGAACTTAAATATTTAGCAGGTCCAATGCTATTAAACTGTTTGGTAAAACCATTTCTCCGTGGGCATCCTTTCAAAAACCTAATCCTTTAGGAAGGAGTTCTTACGTCTAAGATGATTAAAGTGAATTTTTAAAACACTTTGTCTGTGTATTCTTATTACTTTAGAGTCTACTAGTCATTAAAGGGTACAGATTACGAAAATGTGTGTCGCCAACTTGAACTAGCGGAATAAGCTGGGAATGGCGATGCATCAAGAGGACAACTATGGACAACTGGATAACTGTGTTCTCAACTTTTCCCCTTTTACAATAGTTAGCAGGTCCACGATTAGCATGAAAGTTCATCTGAGTTGGTAAATTACTTTACCAATACCGTGGCCTAGACACGGTGGTTTAACAACCAAATGTCCCTACAACCTAAAAAAAATAATTCCTTTTACCTTTCCGTTAATTCTTTTTAGTGCCTAGCGGAGCCATCTCTGAAAACCAACCTGAAACTCAACCTGAAAACGAACTTGAAAACCAGCCTGAGATTGAGAACCACCGTGTAAAGAGAAAAGTTCCCCCACAGGTCAAGTCAATCTTTATTGCACAACAATTGTAACGGGTACAATGCATGGCAAACTCTTCAGTACTACATATCTAGCTAGCATCTACTCTCACGTCTACAGTGACTACAAGTTCTATGTATCGAAAATAGCACACTATTTCAAAAAGGTAATATAGTACATGTATGTATATGGAGCATGGCTTACATGATTATGTACATGTCTTAAGTTCTATATATAACTGTACAAACAAGAGTGTACATCAGTTGGCGGATATAATATGATTTCTTTTATCTAAAGCTTTGGATATATACTCGCCTATATACAGGAAAGTTTCGTCGGAACATGACATGAGTAGAGTAAAAGTATCTGAGATTGCTTTAGGTAATGTTATATGTGCCTTGTTGGTGATCGCATTCATAAGTGTTTCTCTTTCTTCGGTACAGGTGGTGGCTTTTGTGGCAGACGCCGCCAAGGACATTGGAAAGAAGGTGGTTGAGAAGCTCGGCGAGAGGATCGCGGAGGCGGTCGTGGAGAACCACCGAGAGAAGGTGTGTCTGGAAAACAATAGCCATTTTGACCTTGACCCAATAACCTATATTGTCAACACAAAATCTTTTATACCTAACTAAATGTTTAAACTGGCTACGAAATTATTTAATTTTTACACATTGTTTCACTGTTTGGCTTGTATCCTTGTATTTTGGAACATTCATTTTCTTTCACGTTTGCTTTTTTTCCCCTTTTTCTATTGATTGTATTATTCTTTGTCAGTGGTGAGACTAAAATTAGCAATTTACTGCAATGGGTCACCACTGGGATTAGTATTCTTCGTATACTATCATGAAAGTTCATCTGTGTTGGTAGTTACACGTTTAAAGTTAAGACTTTTGATCCAACACAAAAAATTCTCTCACCTAGAGCTTTCGACCAGTCACTCTGGTCTTCCTCAGTAGACTGACCCAGTGAAGTTTGTCACGTGGCTTCTTGTGACGTCAACACTGGGTCAAAGGTATCTGGTAGACGATGTCGGCCCCCGTCGCGGTTCAATGTAGGGTGATGGTCCCTGATGTAAATGGCTTCCTTCACCCCTCTCAAGAAGTAGTCTTGTTCAGTGTCTAAAATCCTTACAGTGTCAAGTGAAACAAAAGTCCGGGTGACTCTATGTGAATGTGTTGAGACACCTCTGAACTGGCAGAGCTAGGCCGTGTATGTTCTTGAAACCTGGCTCTAGGTGAGAGAATTTTTTGTGTTGGACCAAAAGTCTTAACTTTAATCTAGTATTCTTCGTGTTGTTCCACAAACAGGTAGTGGCGGGGTTGGAGGAGTACTTCTCCGGGCAGTTCGACAAGGCAGACGAGGAGTTTGACAAAGCGATCGCCCGGGGTGGAAACCTACTTGACGGCATCGGTTCAGATGTCAAGGAGGTTCGTACATGTACGCTGTATGCATGTATGCTGTCTATATCCAATTTCGAAACACATTCAAATTGTTTTGTCTTCGCTTCCCAGGGCTCGAAATACTGGGTGCATGTGCACGCACCTTAGTGCACCCAAAATTGGAGGTGTGCAACCAATTTTTTTCGTACATATCAACTGTATAATAGTATGCAGGATATTGTTGGCATCTAAGTGTCAGAAAATAATAAAATCTTTGTTGAATTCATGAAGTACTTGTTTAAATTCTGAAGTTAGCTCCCATTTCGGATTCAAGCTCAGAAGAGGAGCAGTAAGATCTGTAATTAGGTTTTGTTTTATATGGTGCACCCAACAAAGTTCATTGTGCACCTCACTTTTTAGGTTGGGTGCACCAGTGCACCTATTCCCAAAAATGAATTTCGAGCGCGAGCCCTGCTTTCAAATATTAATTATGTCAAACCTTTTGACTGCCTTAACCTGACACCCATACCTCATTATCTATTTGCCTAGTGGTGTTAAGATGTATTACTTGTGTTGGAGTTTCAATGTACTATCAATGGACTCCAGGAATAACAGTATCCATCCACAAATACATATTTACCTCCGGAGGAGGAGACATCCTTCCGCGGAAGGGTTTTGAGAGATTTAGATTTTCATGTTCGCAGCTGTTTCTCGCGTTTGGGTGGACGGATTCTTTGAGATTCGGTATATGTTTTGCTGTTGGGCTGCAGATAATGCACGTTCTTTTGTTTTTATTGTATATGTGTTTTCGGGCGTGAAAATGGTGCCTTTTGGTGGCCCCAAAAACACCCCTTTGAGCGTGAAAGTGGTCGCGACCGTTGACCTTTGGCGTGTTTAAGCTATTCTCGGTCTGGTCCACGTATATGACCCCTCACACAGAGGGGTGTCCGGTCTCGATAAATTATTTGTTAAAACCCTATGTAAAATATAGAAAAAGCCCGGAAGTATAAAATCTCAGATTTTACTTGTTTGTAATACTAATAGAGAATCCAAGACATAAATTGGCCAGCATGTACCAGTTGATTGCAAAGTACAGAACCGTTACAACGCTGTATTTCAAGATACAAGATACAAGATCTCTTTATTGGAAATCGCAGTGTTGACACTGAATTAAAACCAATTTACAATTCAAAATAAGGAATCCATTAAAAGCTGTTACAAATATGGACAGGTTATATACAGACATTACAAAAAGAGGCAAGTTACTGTCCGTGCTGGTTTACAAGTCTAGTCATGTACGGCACACAAGAGTTCAAGTACCGGTTCGTTCTGGCTTTTGGACAGTTCAATTTCTATGCTTAATCAATCCCCGACGATGGACGACAAATGGATTACGACGGTACTCTTGCTTTCAATACTCAGGCCACACTCAGGGTGATCCACGGCAGAGGCTCCAACACAGGGGACTCCTTCTCACCACCTGACCAGGAAGTCATCGTGGAGTTCGACCATTTCGATGACAAGTTAGTTATATTTACCTTCGCCAAGAAGGTTATGTTTTCAGTAGCGTTTGTGTGTGTGTGTGTGTGTGTGGTGGGGGGGGGGGGGTTATGGTTTAGCAAGATATCTCAAGAACCTTTGGATTGATTGTCATGAAAGTTAGTAGCTGGGTAGGTCTTGATAGGACCTAGAAATGATTAGATTTTGGCCACCCCTGGCGGCTTTTGTTGGTACTGCAGCAGAACTTCCGGTTTTGATATCTCGCGATCTGGACATACTAGGGTCACAAATTTTGGGTGGTAGATAGCTCTAGGGCTAGGGAAGAACTGACATGAGTCTGGACCCCCTAGCAGTTTGTTCTGGAACTGCAGGAGCGTTAGTGGAAAAATCTTCGAAGGAGGATAACTTAAGAACGGGTTAAGGGATTGTCGTGATGTTTGGTGTGTGGGTAGCTTAAGTGATGCTTGACATGGATATCTGACAGGTATGCAAATCAAGAGCTAATTTGCATAATTAATGAGGAAATTCTATAAATCTGCTTTGTTGGATGATAGGACTATGAAACACATGTGACATGGAATTGAGAACGAGAAAAACACATGAGGATATAGATTATGTAATGAAGACCTAATTTGCATTATTAAAGGGAAATTGTTATAATTTCATTGTTGCAACTGATGGGAATTTCATACTTGCCACATTTGGAAGTTAAGTGAAGGTGAATATCAATAAATATAATTTATTCAAATCATGACCTAATTTGCATAATTTATGAGTAAGTGCTACAATAGCCTTTTTTTGTTAAGATAAGGTTGTCATTGGGTGGAGAATATGATCAACTGATAATAATACATGTAAATGAGGCTCTTTTTTGCAAAATCAATGATTGTAAAATTCGTCAACCGGTTAACATCATTTGGCGAAGGGTTGAGATCGTGGAACTCTTGTTGTAAATCTATTATACCACAGCAATATCATTTATGACATCACCAGCAGACCACAACCTTTGTAAGAAGGAAAGCAAAAAGACAAAATGGCCAAAAACAAAGCGAAAGTTTCAGAATAGTGACGATATAGTAAAATCGAAAAATGTTATAGCAAAAACTGAAGGGACAAAACGGACAACAAGTATTACATTCCTGCTTTTGTTGCTGCTGTCAAAAGATTTACTTCTGCAACTAACGAAATATTTTCCTTTGATATACAACATATATGCATATATAAGCAGTTGCTTAAAATATTGTTTATTGTGCAATTGTCATCTCCTGAGGCCGCATACCAAATTCTACTGAATGCTTCGAAAGTGAAGTTCATTTGATCCCACGACCCTACCAGTGGACAACCCCTATTGCACAACTATGTGAATTAAAGTCACTATTCTTTAATTCTTTAGTAATGGCAATGAAATGACCATGGACATACTCTGCCCGCTGATTGAAAGTTGATAATTCAGAGCCAAATATACCATAAATGCACATTTATTGATGCAAATTTTCTAGCGACGAAGACGAAGGCAGCGGAGGTTTTTCTCCGAAGAGCTACCCCAACGGTCTTGGATCTGTGCTGATGAACAACTGCTTTGCGAACGACTATCAGCCAGATGACCCGTGTTACCAGGCTTTCGTGCAGATGGATGGCTGTGCTGTAAGAATATTTATGTTTACCAAAGGAAAACATATTGTTTTTCCCCAGTTTCTTCCTCCTCCTCTTCTGTTCCAAACACTAACCTCTGACCTAGCCAATGACATGATTTGTTGACGTCTGTCACCATGGTCACTGGTGTTGGGTTACATAATGTTGCAATTTCATGGTCTGCTCTATTCCTGTCACCATATACTCGTAGTGCATGTATGTGAATGTGTTTGAGTAAAAGTTAACAGGGCAGACCATGTCCGAAGGTAAACATTATGCATTTGCTTTGCAAATGATACTTCTCTAGTTGAAAAAGCTCCAGGATGCCCTAGCTTGATAGCTTAGGCTAAGATTGCGCTTCAGCACAGGTGCTTCCTTTCTAAATTAGTATGACATCTGCCGAAAGTTCGCACAGTCCTTGCTGATGCACCCTACTTTCAGGAACTGGCTTCCTCTTTCTAGAGGTGACATCTCCGACAGACACACTAGACAAAGGCATCTACTGTCCACCCTCAGAACAAGAACAAAACGATTTCAGAACAGCCCAGTTGTTTATATGACCCACCTTTTAAACAAGCAGTAACAGTGATTGCAAACAGTACGTATGATCATAGAACGCTGAGACTTGTATATATCCGATTTGTATATATAATATATGTTTCCTTCCCTTAATTACTTTTAATGTAGTTAAGCATGTACTTTTAAGTGTATTTTCAAATCTGTCATTGTTGTAAAACACGCAATTCAGCCTGTGGCTACAATGTGTTTTGACGAATAACCCTTTCATTCATTCATCACGTAAAGGGAGACATGTAGGGCTGTCATGATTATTGTGGGAACACATATACAACATACATATGAACGAAATATTTATCGTTTTCTACTCTTCACACAGAATGTCATTGACGGAGCGACTTTCCTGGGTGTTGGGTTTGACGGACGTGGTGAATACTCCACCGACTCCAGGAAAAAGAGCCTCGTTCAGCGAGCCTGCAATGGTCTACAGAGGTGTTTCATTTCTAGCTTATGCAGACTTTTCTCTTTTAGCATATTACGGACTGAACATGGGGAAAAATCCGTGTCAGTCTCAGTTACGAATGGTTTAATCTTTAATCCTTTTTTTCTATGTGAAATATACCGGGAGTCATTGTATTTACCTCCATGAAAAATGGAGGTATTGTTTTTGGCATGTCTGTGTGTCTGTGTTTCCGCACATTTGTAGTCAGCATAACTTCATAACGTCTTTATGGATTGTGATGATATTTGGTATGGTAAGTCTTAGGAAGACAAAGGTCAAGGTCAGATATGGGCCTCCTGGTGGATGACCTTGGTACTGCAGCAGAACGTCCGGTTTTTGTATCTTTTGTACTGAAAATGCTATGGTCTTGACATATTGGTGACAGATAGCTTTTCCTGTCAGGAATAAGTGGTGTGGGTTTGTCACCCTAGCAGCTTCTTCTGGAACTGCAGGCGAAATCTTCTAAAGCCACTAAGTCCAGATAGGAACAACGTATTTTCATCATTCTTTGTGTGCAGGTAGCTGAGAGAGAGAGTTGTACATATTAATTAAATGCAAATTATGCAAATGGTCACTTAATTTGTATAATTAGGGAGGAAATTCTATAATTACAGTGTTTTACATAATAGTTCTTTTATACATGTAATCTATTCAATCTGTGGCAGGCGGAACATATATAAACAGATACCAATAATGCAAATTATGACCTAATTTGCATGATTGATGTGAAAATTCTGTGACTCCTTATTGGTGAATGATGGGAATTTTACACCTCGTGACATGTGTAAATTACTTAAAGGTTAACACTGCTATGCATATATTATGTTAATGTAGATGTTATTTGCATAATTAATAAGGACATGTTGAAATGTGTATGACAAAGCAAGTCCATATTTCATGGAGGTATGAGATCTCAGAACTCTTGTTATAATAGTGTGCAAGTTTTAAAGAAGACAATAACTTATGTTTAACAGTTTGTCTGTTACTTGCAGAGACAGGGATTTGTACTATACTGGTATTTCTTCATAACCCAGTAAGAACATATATTTTATCCTAGATACAAGGTGTACACAGTACCTGATCAGATGACCGTGCAAGGCATATACGACACCGACGTGGAGACCTACTCCTTTAGCTCCTTGGAGGAGTACCGATCTTACCTGGAGGACAAGTCTGCCGTGACGTCTGCTACCGCCATGTTCCAACAGGAGATGAACAAGGTTCAGGGACATCTAGCCATAAGCCCAATCTTCGGACTTGTGGGTTCAGTCGGAGCAGGGTTCGGCGTCCAATGGGGTAGCGACAGGGAGGCTTCAGCTTTTGCAGCCCATTCCTCAGCGAACGCTCGGCTCAGTACGGGTTCGGCTCGAACGTTCCTGGCTATACTGGAACTCAACGTATTTAGGTGGGCCTTTAATTCAGCATTAAGATTCGAGTATTCTCATGATGAGTAACAGCATTGATTCTGATATATAACCTACATAACCTTCTTGTTATTGTAGATTGACAACGTCTATGCAACGTTTTTTTTTTACATTGGTCACTACCAGGTACGAAATCTTCCTGGACTTTGTTACACCCGAAGACTTGAACTTGGCCTTCCTCCGGGACTTCCTCGCGTTGCCTACAACCTACTTCGCCATCGGGGCGGACAAGCAGTGCCGTAAGTACAAGCCTACGTCTAATCCGGTGAATGCAATCACTTCCCCGGTTGCATCTCTTATCTCAAAAGCCAGCACATGATGTTTTAACAATAAATCTATCATGTTAGAAACTACAGTGACCTATGGCAAGGATACCGTCGACAGATTTAACATATTCCATATTGTCAATGATTTAACAACGGTGTCTTCCTGAGCACAGCGGTGTCACATACCATGACATTCAAAAGGAAATCATAGGTCAAAACAACAGATCACTACTCTGTATGTACTTCTTCTCTATGTCTTTTCTTCTTTAAATATCATCTGTAGCCTATATCATCCCTTGCTTCTTCCTTTGAAGGCCGACTGCATTCCAGAGAAGCACGAGACGAAGACTTTAAGACCTACATCTATTTTCTTGAAACCAAACTAACATGTCCCATGACATCCATTCCTTTCAGAAAACTTCATCCTGCGCTGGGGGACACACTACATCACCTCCGCTAAATTCGGCGGGCAACTAAAAGTCGTCAAGACCAAGACAGTTACTTCGGAGGACAACATAGTGCAATTTGCCCAGGCTTCTCAGACCAACTTCAAGCAGCTCTTCAGTACCTACACGTCGTGGCAGACACAAATCAAGTCCAGCAGCTTTTGGCACGATCAAGACTTCAAGACTGATAATGAGCGTTCTTCGGGCAGCGCACTTGAGACCACGACCGACCAGGAGACGGCAGGAGAACAGGCTGCCAGGCGAGTTTTACTCCTATTCATATATACTGCTTTACAATTCCCGTTGTTCCAGCCGATCGTTTTCTCAGCACATTAAATAAGCAATGTTTTAGCAGCACAGCTTAGAAATCCTCATCAGGACAGTCTTGTGTTGAACAAAAGGTCAGGCAAGTTTCTTGTTTCTATGTTCTTATGACTTCAATAACGCTTTAATTATTCTTAAACCGTGGCCTGAGGTGCCCTCAGTTACATATTTAGAGAGATAAACCCACTGTCCAATTGTAGCTGCGATTCTTACGTTCCAGGTTATTCCGTGTCTTACAGATAGATGTTTTCCTCCTTCTACCGATGCCCGTAGTATGGTATAACAATGAAATGTCCTCTATCTTTACAGTTTCAAGCAGGAATACAGTAATGAGATGATGATCGTGCAGGGAGGAAACCAGAGGATCGCATCGGCCATCACCGAGTTCTACACCACGTCATTCGGATCCGAGCTCAAGGAGTGGCTGGACTCCATAGAAGACTACCCGAAAGCGTTTGAATTCACCATGGGGCTGATCACGGACCTGTTTGACATGAACTTCGACATGCTCTTCCCCAATGGGGTTCTGGACTACGGCTGCTTCGGAAGGTTCGTTGTGATCATAATTGGCATTTCTGTAAGGGAGAAAAACTTCGGAAAAGCTTCGGAAGGTTCGTTGTGATCATAATAACAGCAGTAAATGTTATTGAAAGCCACAGATGCCCATAGGTGATTTTTTTGTAATGTAGTAAGGAGCTGAGCGTGGATGCGAAGGGCAGGAAATATTACGTGGAAGACGTGGTTGAGGCCAACAACACACGAGAGAAGGCGACCGTTCGCTACTGTAACTTCGACGCACGCCAGGATCTTGTCGAGGGCATGATCAGTAGGAGGACGGCCCTGGAGCGGGCAACCGCCGTTTATCTAGTGGAGGTAAGACTCTCGGTCAAGCAATAGAAATTTCAGATTGTTAAAAAAAAAGAAAGGATACATAGAAATTATACTATTAGCTGAAGAGACACAAACGGAAGGACCACAGTTTTGTTGTTTTTCTTACTCTTACTTACTTTACTTTGGTCGAGCTCCCGCTCGAACCAATCCAGAAAGCATACGCCATCCCACTCTGTCTAACATCAGGGACCAGAGCTCCGCCACCTCAGTAAGGCCGGCCTCTGACTTGAAGTTGTCAAGGTAATTTATCTTTGGTCTGCCATGGTTTCTTTGGCCTTTTTTAGGCTCCAAAAGGACCAGTTTGGAGGCTACAGTATCAGGATGTCTGACACTATGTGCGGCCAGTTTCATCCTGCGAATTTTGATCTTCTCCGTAACTGCAGCAGACAGATCCTGATTCTTACTATTGTCCCCCGTTTTATAGGGTCCATTCCTCATCACTGACTTCTCCATTGCGGCCGGACAGCCCGGATGTGAGACAGCTGATTTGGCCTACGCTGATGAATCCAACAGCGGGGTTCCGACCTGGGAAGAGATGACCAGCGGAGACGAATTTATCATTCATATCGACATGCCTTACAACATCCCCAGGTTGATTTGATTTATTGAAATTGCAAACAATACAATACTCGTGGGCCACAGGCAGCGGGGGCTGGTGTTGTGGTCCACACACAATTATAAGCGCACAAACAAGACACACATTTAAACCTAAACAATATAAGTACATAAAAATTACAATCTAGAATCAGCATAGATTAGAATATATCAACCTAATATCTATCAGTCCATTTACTACTTGGTACAGTTCATGCGGTTCCTAGCCGCCAGAATGTTCTCGTGTCTGGGGCCACGTCTCCAGGTCGACTGGTGCTTCTGCTGTGTGAGCGGGTGGGTCTTGCACGTTCTTGAATACACTAATGCTACGGGCCTCTGAATGCTACAGGTTCCTGAAGGCCAAGGCGTCCCTGCACCTTATGTTCAAACGCGGCAGGTGGATGACTATTACGGACAGGTTACACCCACACATCTTTGACGGACACAGGAATGGCGGCAGTGGAGACACCGCAGCACATAAGGTTCATTGTTTGTTTATTAAACCGATCTCCATTAGTTTGTACAGACTGAGTTTTCATACATACTAATCTTCTTGGAGTCGTTATACACTTTTAAGTACATACTACTAACGTAACAACATGGTAAGGCTTAACTACATACTACATAAACACACACAACATGCAAGTTGTACCGAGAAGTCAGAGGCCTTATTATAGAATTAATTCATTAAGTCCATTTAGTACTTGGGTACTAGCATTTAAGGTAATTATGCTCTCCTTTCTTTCTTTGTGCTGTTTTCAGTTCCTTAAATATGCCACGTGTACATGTGTTCCTCAGATAAGCGTCGGGGGCTTGGTGATGTCGTACGGCGAGGATACTGGCTTGTTAACCGTGACTCAGGAGGACTTCGAGGCGTCCGCCGAGCTCATAGCCGACCTGCCTGACTGGCTCATCGGCATGGATGTGGGCAGAGCAGAGTACAGCTCGCTCATGCAGCAGATCAGTAATCACCAAAGGTACTTCGTTTTTATATACAACAAGTAAAATATGAGATTTTATAACTCCGGGCTTTTATTGTATATTTTTTATATAGGGTTTTAAACAAAGAATTTATCGAGACTGGACACCCCTCTGTGTGAGAGGTCATATACGTGGACCAGACCGAAAATAGCTTAAACACGCCAAAGGTCAACGGTCGCGACCACTTTCATGCTCAAAGGGGTGTTTGGGGGCCACCAAAAGGCACCATTTTCACGCCCGAAAACACATATACAATAAAAACAAACGAACGTGCATCATCTGCAGCCCAATAGCAAAACATATACCGAGTCTCAAAAGAATCCGTCCACCCAAACGCGAGAAACAGCTGCGAACATGAAAATCTAAATCTCTCACAAAACCCTTCCGCGGAAGGATGTCTCCTCCCCCGGAGGTAATTAGTGCAATGTTTATAATATTTGCAAATTTCAGTTTAAGTGGGTACTTTCAAGCAAAAATGTTTAATATTGGCTCCATTCTCGGGATTTTGCAGTTAGATGTTCTGAAAGTTGCTCTGAAAGTAATTGCGTGTAGGAATAGTGTATCTCTTCGCGTGGTTTCCTCATCAGTGTATATACTGCTTAGCCCGATTTGCATCGGATTACGAGCAGCTGCACATGTGTTAGTAACAAAACAGGTGACCGGTACAAATAAAAACAAGGGTAACTGAAGGAGGGGACACTAAGGAACATAAAAAACTGAATCTGTGTGTGTAATAGACAAGTGCATTTAGTGTGTTAGTGGAACATACATATATGTATATATATA